GGAGCTGCTTTGAAGGCCCTCTTCCCTCACTATCCTCCGCTGGCAACATTGCCGGCTGACGTGGACTCCAACCCCGAGAACTGCGTGCGGGGCAAGCTGAAGCCGGCCGGCGAGCTGCAGCCCTCCGCCATGCCTGTCTACAAGGGCATGAAGGTGTACTTGACGCGCAACGCGCGGAAAGACGTCGACTTCGTCCACGGCATGGAGGCGACGGTCCTGAAGTATGACGACGGCACGGGCGGCCTCCTGGTGCGCACCACCACCGGCTTCGTGGTCAGCATTTGGCCTTGGACCGACCCGGACAGAGGTGGCTTGGTCTACTACCCCGTCCGGCCTGGCTACGCGTCCACCATCCTGAAGTTTCAAGGCGCAGAGCTGCCTCATGTCGTCGTCTACTTGGATGCCCCGAAGGTTCCCGCCGCAGCCTACACGGCCATCAGCAGGGTCGGCTACTACAATGACTTCCTGCTGGCGGGCATCTTCACGGAGCGTGACGTGATTAGCAACAGTCGTTTCACCTCCCAGGCGCTACGTGCACAGGTAGCCCGCAACATATTTCAAGGGTTTCCATTCGGAGCCACTGGTGCGGCGCGAGCAGTACACTGTGCTGGCAGCGCAGAGCACGGTGCATGCTCATTGCAGCTGCGGGCTTCAGCTTCCCACAACAGACGGCGTCGCAGGTGCCAAAACAAGCTTGCCAGCACACGCCCCTGCGCCGTATATCACAAGTGACTTGACGCATGTGTGTTGATGCCGCCCAAAGATGAACGGCATGGTTGGACGAGCCTCGCAGTCGTCTCTCTCGGGCAATCTTGGCTCTAAGCGAAAACGAGTTGACGGCGCGCCACCTACAGTTTTACATGCTTTGGCACACGCTTTGGCACACGTGCAACAACCAGCTGCGTTAGTTCTCAAATACCTTTTCTCATGCGGCTTGTAGGGCCTGTATAGGGTGTGGCGCTACGTGCGCAGACACTTGCCATGAAGTTGACCGAAAAGACCGGGCGGCTGCTATGCTGGTACCTGCCCGATTGGGTTGATGGCTTGTCGATGCTGAACTGGCTGGGCACCTGCAGACAAGCCCACCTCTGTCAGCACGGCACCTCTTGGTCGGCCAAACTGCAGGCAACCATGGGCTTCGCCAAAGGCCTGGCGGCATACATGCGCAAGCACCGTGTCATGCCCTCCGACGACGACTATCTGGAAACTGTGCTGCGGCTTCTGCATGACGACAGGCTGCCCCTGACACTGCCTTCCCCAGGCGGCCCTGTCGTTATCAATGACGCCCACATTGGAAAGTTCCGCGATCACATTGCCCTGTACTTGGGCTTGCGCACCGGCAGAATCAAGGGCAACAGCTTCGAAGAGTTCTTCGAGGTGGTCCAGAAGCTGAACAGCCAGGAGCACGCTTGGTGCAGAGATCCAGCCTTCCAGTCCGTGTGCAATCAACTGGTCGAGGGCAACGCGCGGTTCTTCGTGCGTAGTGAGTG